TAAACTTTCCTTTTGACTCAAAAAGTAATAATAAAAAATAAAAGTGCAGTCCATCTGGGCCCACCCCACCCACTCACCAGGAGCCGCTGGATAAGACGTTTTCTTTTTTTTTTTTTAAAAAGGAAACCCTGACACATGCTACAATGTGGATGAACCTTGAGGGCATTATGCTAAAAGAAATAAGGCCATTAAAAAAGGACAACTTTTGTATGATTCCACTTATAGGAGGTCCCTACAGGAGTCAAATTCACAGAAACAAAATAGAATGGTGGGTAACGGGAAGGAGCAGTTGTTTAATGGGGACAGTTCCAGTTGAGCTAGATGAAAAGAGTTCTAGAAATGGATGACGGTGACGGTTGCACAACAATACGTATATGTTTAATGCCACTGAACTGTACGCTTAAAAATGGTTAAGGTGGTAAATTTTATGTGTGTGTTATCACAATTTTAAAAATTAAAAAAAGAGAAAAAAAAAGCTAAGTTATGGCCATATCATTTGAGCCCCAGAATGCTGAGACTTGTGAGGAAAAAATACATAGCCACATACAGTGCTACAATCATTTAGGCCACGTGTGGGACCCCAACCACGTTAAGGTCATTGTCTTCACCTGCCGGGACCCTCGCTGCTGCCCTAATTCTTGCTCTTATCCCACAGAGCACCCACCTGTGACTTTCACCTGCTGGGCTTCTTCGTTTGAGAACCAAGACAAGCCTTTGGGGAACCACCTCTCCTCCACTTTGTTCCTGCCTCTCAGCCTCAACCCTCAGTCTGGCCTAGCAGAACCCACAGCTCCCCTGGTTCAATGTCTGGGTCGGAGATGACATTTCTCTAAAATAGGCCAGAGGAGGCAGCTCTGGGATTTGCTACTCATGTGCTACCTATATCATGTTCCTTGTGTGAAAGGGCACTCGATGTGTACTTTCACACCTTAATCAAGTCATTTATTCAAGCACCCTCTGACCTCAGGGCCTTTGCACTGGCTATTCTCTGTGCCCAGAAACACCATTCTCTCCATATTCAAAGCTTCTTCTTTGTCTCAGCTTTCTGCTCAAGTGTCAAGTCCTCAGAGAGACCTGCCTGCCCTGACCACCATTTCTTAAAGAGCACTATCCAACTACCCTTCTTTATTTTTCTTCAAAGTGTTTATCACCATCCATTATCTATTGTTATTATCTGTCTTCCTTGCTAGATGGTAAAACTCTGAGACCAGGGAACAACATTTTTGTTCAGTCCAATATACTATGTGAAGTTCCTGGCTTAGACCACTTGAAACGGCAAGTGAGTGAGTGCATGGGTCACCCGTCACACATGCCCCGCCACTGCACCCAAGTCAGTCCAGCCTCACAGATAGATGAACCAAATGGGAACTCCCAATTTAATCCACTTTAGAAAAATAAGGTATACATAATCGTAAGTGTACACCTTGGCAAATATTTTTATAGTATGCATCTGTGTAAGCACCACCCCAATCAAGATAAGGAACATTGTCCCCACATCAGGAAGTTCCCTTCTGCTCTTCCTAGCCAATTCTTGTCCCTCTTCTTACATCACCGGGATTAGCTTTACCTATTTTAGAATGTTGCAGAATTGGAAACATACAGCATGGCCTTCTTTGTGTCTATTAGTTGTCTAGGTCACTCTGAGTTTTCAGCCAGCCTGTAACTGGCCAGCGCATCTGTTCCTGCATGCCTCCTTCCAAAGTGGGAGATGGATCTACACTTCTCAGAGTTGCAAACCACAGAAATGAATGCTAGCCAACCCAAGCAGAGAAGAGCTGAGTAAAGCCTGCTGGTAACTCCCAGACCATCTGGAAGGGCAAGAGGAACTGGCCTTGAAGACTACCATGCAACCGGGAGCAGCTGCCAAGGACACAGAGAAAAACCCATTGCACGGCCCTGCCCTCATGGAACTGACTTAGAGTAGGAGGCAGGTGATAATAAGCAAAGTACATAATATGACTCATAGTGGTGGGTGAAATGGGTGAAAATAATGCAGGGGAATAGGTGTGTGCAGGGCTGGGGCAGGTGCAATTTTAAGTCAGGCAGTGCACAGGAAAGTCCATATGGGGAGCTGAGGGATGGAGGGCCAGTAGATTGCTAGGAGAAGCACCTTCCAGACAGAGGGAACAGCCAGTGAAAAGTCCCCAGGGTTGAGTGTGCTTGTGGAAGGAGCAGTGAGGAGGTTCTAGAGACCGGAATGGGGCAAGAGAAGGAGGATAGAAGGAAGGGACATTCTGGAAAAGGCAGGTAGCTCCTAGAAAGCCTTGTGGACCTGCATGCAGACAGTGGCTGTCACCCTGAGTGAAATGAAAGCTGTAGGAGGCTTTGCGACGGTGGCGGGGAGGGTAGGACCCACACTGCATCAGTCCCTTGCGAACACCCTCCAGTCCATGCTGCTCTCCGTCAACCCCAGCTAAATCCAACTCTCTGTCTCGCCTGGCACTTGGGTGAGTTTGGTGGGGAAAAGAAAGGAAAAAAAACCCCACAACCTCCCTAACATTCCTTGTTTATGTGGTGCTCTCCCATGTGACTAGACGATTTTTCGTACCTTCTTTCTTCTCACAGACTTCCAACATCTCCACACACTCCATTCTCGGTTGATGACCTTCCTCATTTCACGAGGAAACTCACTCGTGTCCATCTACTTCTGCCACCACAGCTGCCAGCACTTGTGCCCACATTCCCTGCCTTCCACTTAGACTGAGCCTCAGATGCTCCTGTCTGGCTCTCTCTTACATCTACTTTTTCTCCTTCTCTCCCCAGGGCTCAGACCTCGCCTCTCTCTTTACTCACTCCCCAGGTGATCTCGGCCAGCCACATGGCTTCAGAGACCATCACATCACTGAGCATTCCTGACTGCATGCCTCCAGCCTGGAATTCTCCCCTGAAGTCCAGGCACACACATCCAACCGTCTGTGTGACAGCTTCCCTTGGAGATGTTGCATTCAGTGGGTCCTGTAGAGGACAGATACTGGCCTATTCAGATCCATTTGGATCTGCTTTATTGTTTTTTTGTTGTTGTTTTTTTTTGCAGCATTGCCAGGGTTTTGCATGCTTCTGCATGCTGCAATTCTCCAAACACCGCCCTGGACTCTGGACCACGTTGCCGATGCACCTTTGCTACACATTCAGAGAATCGGAAGTGCCTGGGAGCTTAAATGTTTCTTTGGGACCACCTTCAGTCAAGAACTTACCAGTGTAGAACATCTTGGATATATAACTCATCCTACAGAGATCCCTGCAAGATCAGGTGCCCTCTCAGGCCTCTGCTTGAGCTTACTGCCTTGCAGCCTTGCTTCCTCCTGTTTCTTTGGCTCCTCTCTTGCACATTCCACATATAATCAATCATGTCAGTTCCATCTTCAAATTCTAAAATCGGCATGCTTTTCATCACCTTCACCAAGACCACCTGAGTCTAGTCCACCATCAGTGAGCGCCTGGACTAGTGCAGTAGCCTCCTCATTAGTCTCAGTGCTTCTACTTTTGTGTCATACAGTTTTCGCACACAGCAGCCAGAGGGCTTTGAGCATGCATGAAAGACCAGGAACTTCAATGCTTCTGTATACTATAACAATCACTAACACTGTGCACTTCCCATGGGCCAGGCACTGTGCTAAACCCTTTACATTAATTCAGTTGTCCCATGCCTGTATATTGAGTGCCGGCTGTGTACCAGGCACTCTACCCGACCTTGGGATAAGGTGGTAAAGAAGAGGCAATACCTGGGTCCCCTTTGAGCTGACATTCTGGGTGGGGGGACTGACACTTAGTAAATGAAAACACAAATAATTGCAGATTGTGACAAGCGCCGTGAAGAAAATAAACAGGGTGACATGGTCATAACCAAGAGAGGCCAACTTTAGATGAGAAGGAAAGGCTTCCTGGAGGAGGTGATCCCTGAGCTGAAAGTGGAAGGATAAGGAGCTAGCCAGGTAGAGAGCATTTCAGGCACAAGCCCGGGCCCAGGGGGGCTGGATGTCAGCAAGGGGGAGGTGAGTGGGCGGTTAGGGAAGGGCCTTGTGGGCTGCAGCGAGGACTTTGGCTTGCACTGAGTAAGGTGGGAGCTACGGAGGGTTCTTGAGCAGAAAAGGACATGAACTCACTCAGTTGTTCGCAGGTGTCCTTCTGCACCTGTTGGGAGAACAGCGGAGGCTGGGGACATGATGGCAGGAGCTAGGGACGAGGAGGAGATACTCTCCTAGTTCCAGTGAGTGATAATGGAGGCTGGGAACTGAAGATATGGGGAGAAGTCAGGTTCAGGAGCAGTTTTGGAGGCGGGGCTAACAAGACCTGGGATAAGGAAAAGAACATCCTGGAAGGATCAAGGTGAATGAGGAAACCCAGAAAGCATCAGTACAGGGCATTGGGTGTGGGCCTTGGGGTCCAGGAGACCTGGCTTCAAATGCCTTCTTGGCTCCTTTTCTGCTGAGCAACATTTAGATGCAGTGCTCAACCTCCCTGCCTTAATTAACAGGGAGAGTAATAGAAGTAGGGTATGGTATGCAGAAAGCAAGTACTCAAAAAAATGGTGGCTGTTTAAGATAAAAATCCAGGGGCGGGCAATATAGGAGGGGAAAAGGCAGTTAAGGTGGTAGAGCAGTCAGCCCAGAGGAGTGACAGAGAACTGGCACCAGGGGGCAGCAGCGAGGCTCCAGGCAGCCTGGCAGGGTGCAGCTTTACAGGTCTGAAGCTCTAGAGCCGGCGAAACAGGCCTGGGGCCACAAGTTCAGGCCATGTGACCGAGGAGAGGGGGCGGGAGGTGAACAGGCCATGGCCACCTTCTGGAGTCTAGGAACCAGAATCTTATAAAGAGCATTTGTTCAGGAGAAACCTGAGCCACTTGCATGGTGGAATTCAGGCAGAGACGGGACAGCACAGGGCTTACTGCCTGCCTCCACCAACCCTGGGGACAGTTGCCCCAGCTCAGAGTCCCAAAGCAGTCAAAGCTGAGGTTCCCCCTCCTGGCCTCTCGCTGCCCCCACAACCAGTCCAGACGCAGACTCTGTACAATAGGCACTTTATTAGTAGTTGGAATGCAGTTACACGCAGGGGTGTGTGTACAGAATGGGTGGGAGGGCTGGCAATAGGCGTAGGACACAGAGACCTCAGGCAGGGATTTCTTCCTCCCTGAGATCCTGGAACTATGCTGATGATCAGACATGAAGTTGGGGGCCTTAGTGAAGGAGGAACTGGTAGACCAGGTCCCCCAAGTTTAACTAATTTGGCAAAAGGATCCTAAAGTCATGAGGTGACTGGGCAGGGGGCCTGGTGTGCCTGCGGCACCTGCCCCACATCCTTTCTCCTGAAATCATCCCTTGGGTGGATTCGGTTTCTTTTCTCTTACAGAGAGCTGTGTCAACAGGCAGAAGAAGGTGGGAAATTGAGCCTGGCTCCTCCAGCTAGCAGGCTTCCATGAGGCCGCTATTAGCAGTCCCCTCCCTCCTGCTCCCAATGGCCTCCCGGGACAGTTTCACTCCTTCCTAACCCATCGACAGGGCCCAGTGCCACACCCGACCTGGGCATGCACTCCCACCCCAGCTATGCCAGGTAACTGAAGGCACTCCTCAGTGGCCCCATCTGAGCTGTTGAGACAGAAAAAAGCTAATAGACCCTTTAATGCATGGCCAAGTTAAAAAAATAATAGAGAAAGGCATGTGGCAGTCTGTGTGAGCCAGCTGTTCGGTTATGGAGAAGGGGCTCAGTCCTGGCTTGAGCAGACAAAAAACACCGTCATCACGCCATAAGAGGGAACAGGAAGCTTGAGGCAGCCCACAGAAGTTGGGCTCCATCGCATGCCAGACACAGCAAGGGCCCTCACAGAACTTCTCCCTATCCGGGCCAGTGAGGACTGGAGTGACACGCTGCACAGTCGTGGGGGCTGCCACGGAAAGTCCAACTGCCCCTTGCCGCAGGGAGAAGATACCATAAATCCTCCAGGTCCCCAGAAACTGGTGGTAATTGGATGGGGGCAGCAGTGACAGGACTTCCGGTCAGCTCTATGGGCTGGGGGGTTCTGCTCCAGCTGCTGAGCACCCAGTGAGAAACTTTCCTGGGAAGCAGGGCAAGGCAGGGCCTTCAGGACTCCACCAGCTTCTTGTTGGTCTTGTTCAAAAGCTTCTTGAGGTTGGAAGACATGAAGTAAGGCCTCTCAGCTGAGCCATCATTCCTCTCTAGGTCCTCCACTGCAGAGACAGACCCCAGAGCAGGTGGCATCAGGGGAGACCACAGGTAGGGGCCTCTGGGGACAGGGTGGGTGGGCAGGGACCACAGAGAAGCCTCAGAGGGTTAAGAAGCAAGACACACTGGGACTGGGGAGGGGCGGACTACAGTGGGCTCAAGAATGGGAGGCAAACACGCTCCCCACACTCCCAGGCAAGGGAGCCCCGCATGCACCCCCAGTCTACAGGGAGGAAACGAGGAGGCCTGCCCGGCCCCAAGCCGGCCTCCTTCCTTCTCTACTCCTCCTACTCCTCGACTTCCGCCCGCTTCCCCTCCTCCGCACTCCCCTTCAACAGGATGTCTCTCAGCTCAGGCGACATGAAGTAGGGTCGCTCCTGAGAGCCGTCATTCCTTTCCAGGTCCTCACCTGGGCTCCCCCCAGGAACCAGCATGGGGAAAATGAGGTGGTCAGGAAGGGAGGGGGAGAGGGAGGCAGGGTAGAACAGGGAAGCCAGCAGGCATGGAGGAGAGGAAAAGAGAGAAAAAAAAAACAGACAGATGGAGAGACCAGAGTTAGTGGCAGCCACTAATCCCCGCCCCAAAAAGCCGGAAACTCGGAAGCCAAGGGCCCAGGGGCAGAGCGTCCCAGTTGCAGCCTGGACCAGGGGACAATAGGACGGAGCAGCTCCGAGCATGGGGAGGAAGCCGAGAGGGCATGCAAGGGCCCTAGGATGAGGGACAGCCAGTCCCTGGGAAGCTGGGGGCACCAGGTAGGTGAATATGTAGCCCCATGGGAGGAAGATGTTTTGCCCAGAGTGGAGAAGGGAGTCAGGGCCCATCAAGAATCAGGGTGAGGGCTCACTCACAGAAACAGAGAAATAACGTGTCCACACACATGCCGTAGACGCTGAAGAAGCCATGGGCAATCAGGTAGGAGCCAACGATCACTGTCTGGGTAAGGGGACAGGAGCTGTTCCCACCTGGTCCCCTCACCAGGTCCCTCCCAGGCGGGGATTATGTCATCCTTCTGCTAATAAGCCTTATACTAACAACCCAACTCCTCATCCTGTGGGCAGGGCCCAACTGTCCACAGGACATTTCTTGCCCTCTTTAACCCCAGGGCCTTGGCACATGCTGTTGCCCTGATTTAGTATAGTTTATCATGCCTTCTCGTCGTTCTGCTTTAAGCTCAAACATCAAGTCCTCAGGTACCAGCTCCTCCAAGAAGCCGCCTCTGACATCTAGACCCTCTTTTATGCATTCCTAGTACTGAGCACCCCTCCTCTGAGACCTTCATCTGGCTGCATGTTTAGGACATTACAGGTTTAATGCCTACGTCCCCACTAGACTGCGTCTGTCCCAACAATTGCTGTACCTCCAGCAATATAGTGACTCACAGGGCCTTGATAGGTATGTGAAATTGACTCTAGCAAGTGGACCTTAGAGAGATTAAATAACTTGTCCAAAGTTACACATCCTAAAACTAGCAAAAAAGAGGACTAAGATAAAAATCTAGGTCATAGGGCTCCAAGGCCTGCCCTCAGATACGGTATTCCTTAAGGTGATGACTTAGCTCCTCCACCTTCTTCCCCCTTCACCCCCTCCCCA